AAAAAAAAAAAAAAAAAAAAAAAAGGAAAACGAAAATCAACCAATTCCGTTGAACCCAGGGATTAAGGAGCTTTAAGAACAAAAACTAGATACCCAATCCAATCCAATACAATCCAATCCAATCCAATCCCCCATGTTCTCACTGGTGGCCGAGTCAATCGCTGAGACTGAATTGATAGAATGAAGGGTTTCCTCCTGATGGGTCAAGAACCTTCTCTCCCTTTTACTTTAGCCTTCCTCCAGAGCTCCGCCTCGTTTTTTAAAAATAAAAATAATCCCAACTGAAGAAAAATGGAAATGGAGCTTATTTTTCTTATATTTATATATATTTGGAAAATTCACTTTAGTCATTCTACTTTAAAAAGAAAGAAAAAAACAATAATAATTTCCTTTCAATAAAATATATAATAGCGAGTGGCCGGTCGTGGCGAATCACACACCTCCAATTTTTCACTTTTTATTCTTATTATTACGGCCCCGAATTTCTCTCTCTGGTCGGAATTTCCAAAAAGTACCCTATTTTTCTCTCTCTTTGTTTTTTTTTTCAATTAAACAAATTAAAAAAAAAAACTATTTCCACGTGGTCTCCTTTTTATTTTAGTTCCTCTCAATTTGAAGGTCAAAATTTAGTAGGTGTATTTTCAAGTTCAAATCCAATTTAAATTTGATTTTTATTAATTTGAATTCATTTTTATTGAGATTGATTAATAAATTTTTATGTAAGTGAAATCATAAAAGATTGTCGAGATTTACGAGAAGGCTTCAGGTCATACAGTCAAATGTTTTGGCTAACAAGAATGTCAGTAGGGGAATAGCCATTTAATTAGAGAGTGACCTACATGTTAAGATAATAGAGTCGATTGAGGGTTATTTAAGGAATCATATCAAACACGAAGGAATTAGAAGGGTAGTAGATTAGCTCTCTATAAAAGCCGTCTCTCAATAATGAGTTTGACAATTGGGATGAAGTAAGAATCGAAGAGGTATCTGGTTGTGGATGATCAGGAATTCATGTCTTTTATTTTACCTATCTTCTATGGCTATATTTTTTTTTTTGAAAATTAAAAAATAAAAAAAAAGTTCGCTTAAATTGCTATTGGTTCATGTATTTTGTGCACAATTAATGCCAAGAGCTCAATAATTTAAGGTAGCTAACTTAATACGACAATAATTTAATAAGAAAGTCGTATATACATACTCGTTGAATAATAATAATAATAATAAATTGCTTTAAGTTGCTATTGGTTGATGCATTAATAAAAAGCTATTATTTATTTTATTTGTCTTTTTTTGTATATTTATTTAATAAATTACAAGTTTCATCCTCTTGAATGGTCTGTACCAATTTCCTTTTTACCTTAAAATTTGGAGGGATTTGAAAGGATTTGTAAGAGAAATATACCAAAAATAGAGGAAATGATAAAGCTACACTTTGCTTCTTTATGAAGACAATACTTTTCAGTTTTTCTCATTATTATTATTTCAAAAAAATTAAATTTTTTTGAAGTGTTTGACTTTGTTTTTACCACATTTGAACCAAACTCACGGCCCGTCTTGAACCTTGAAACTTTCTTTTCTGTCTGCCAATTATATTTTATTTATCGTCTTCTTAAAGAAATTAAAATATATTATTTAATGAAATTAAGTGACGGGAGGATGACGTATGACACTTGGAACAATATTATTTAGTACCAGTTGATAGCTTGAGTAAATGCCCATCATACCCCTACATAATCTAACCTACAAATTTAAAAGTTTTACTTCAATTATAAAAAAAATTGACAAATAAGAGCCTACATGCTATATTTTGTAGCTGAAATGAAATATTTAACTCATTATTTTTTTAAAGAATTAGGGTGTGTTTGGTAATTTTAACATTTTTAAGGAAAAATGTTAAGATGCTTTTTGAGGCAGATGCTAAGGCTTTTTCTTCACCATTGAAGAATGGGTAATTATGGAATTTTATTCTTTGTTTCTTTCAAAGCTGAACATTGGTTGCGTGCAAAACATGACTCCACAGCGTGCACCGCATTCCAATTTTGCAACTTGCAAACAAAGACAGAGCACCCACATTTATATATATATATACACATAGACATATATTTATATTTATTTAGCCAAATTGATTACAACAAAAATAAATAAATAAATAAAAGTTGAATTGTACGTCGTGGACTTTAATTTCTTCTTTTTCTTCCATGAAACAATAACCAACGAACTTCCATTAATTTTCAAACTTCCTACTTTAGAGCAATCAGCTTCCAATATTGAATCCCATGAAATTGGCAACAAAAAACAACCACTCTAAAACCTTGTACCTAACTAGTACATGAACCAAAGTGGAATTTTAACCTTCGAGATTTTATCATTTTTTCAATCCGAAAATTAAAAAAAAAAAAAAAAATTATGCACAAACGGTGGAATATATATGTATGTATGTAGAAGTAGCAGCAAAATATTGACTAGTTATGAACTGGTAGAAGAAACGATCATTTCATCAATGGAAAGCCAATTCATGCCAGAATTCCGTTCCTTTTAATGGTCTAGAGAGATAATTATACATCAGGGTAGTAGCAGATGGACACCATAATTTTTTATTTCAAATTGAACTACAATTTTTCCCTTTTATGGACTAGTCAACCTTAATGAAACTTAAAGAAAATAAGGCATTGCATTACAAACAGTGATCTAAGGAGGGGAGGGTAAGAAGAAGAAAAGAAAGATTCCACCAAAAATAATATTGCAAGGAAACATACTTGTTTAGATCGGTATTTGTAATTTCATCATTTGGTGTAGAGAACATCTTCCCATGGGTGGCGGTAAAGTGGCTGTTTCAATCTCTTCTGATCAAATGTATGTCTGGAAATTTCAATTGTAGCAACAAAGCGATCAGCTTATAGGATCCAAAAACTTTAAAAGTAAGCAGAAAAGGATGGATAACAATGGTTTTTAGAGTAGTGACCACTCACCCAATTAGACCGATGGATCGAGCCAGCACGAACAGGCCGTTCAAATAGCCAATCTGGACGATCTCATCAATCTCTTGTTTGCTGAACATTCCACTACCAGCGAGAAGATCCAAGAAAAGGGATCCAATTGCACCATCTACATTAAGAACCAAGTTGTTTGCCTTTGAGAGAGTGTAAGTTTCGACTTCCACAGCATACTCCATGTACTTCACAGATGGGAAATGAGTCCGTGCAAACCGCTGCAGTAGCTCCACTCTCTTATCTCTGTTGTCGCCTCTCTTGATCCTTATTCCACGAAAATCAAACCATCGATTATGCATTTGAATTACCAATCAGCAATCCAAACTGAAAACAACCTAAAAGATGTTATAAAGTCATGTTATTTGTATTAGAAATCATGACTCTCCACAATGGTATGATTTTAAGTTCTCATGGCTTTTTGATGTATTCTTTACTTATAAGTCCATGATCATCCCCTTAATTAGTCAACGTAGGACTCCCTCCCAACAATCCTCAACAATTTGAACAAAAATATTGTCAAATACCTGTGGCCAATTCCAGGCACACGAATCCCTTTCTTTTTCATGCTTTCGACAAATTCATAAGGTGTAAGATTCTGTAAAAGACGGGAAACAACATAAAGGCTTAGAGAAAAAAGGACGCAGAAAGCACCCACTTCATTCAACATTTTAGCAATGAAAAAACCTCACTCTGTCATATGCATCCTTGAAAAACCGAGCAGCATCATCAATGGCACCACCAAATCGTGGGCCAATAGTAAGCAAACCTATTTTAGATGTCATTGTCCGTCATTGATTAGGCAAATAAAAAATAGACTAAAAAACATGTCTGTCCAAATAAAACAAAATTATAACCTGAGACAAGGCTGGACACGAGGTCTTTTCCAGCCCTAGCTGTTACTATAGTGTTGTGTGCTCCAGATACACAAGGACCATGGTCAGCACAGAGCATGATACATATCTGAAAAGGGCATGAGACTTGTCAAGCCTGGATCCAAGACTATAATTTCAACTTCCCCCTTGAGTGTGTTCGTGAAAGTGAAGAAGCAAAACTACAATTAAGCAACCAGTAAGAGATAGCTCAGTTCCATACTGCAAGTTACCTACCTCAATAAAATGTGTACAGTACCGAGGAAGGCTGCGCTTGAACCATAATAGTGAAATAACATCCCCAACACCATAGCCTTGCTCCACAATGGATGACATTGGAATTCCAGCATAGCTGGGCTCCTCACCTATTTTAATTTTTTTTTTTTTTTCAAAACCCAATTATAACTAACTTATTTAATGCTATTAAACCCCAAAAAGTGCTGAAAGAAAATTTTGGGCTAGGTTAAAACAAACCTCTGTCATCAGAAATGGTGGAAATAATATGGGTTGGGGCCCGAACTTTTCCACTCTTAATTGCTGAGTTAAGATCTTCAGGAATTTGTGGAGGCTTCACTTCCTTTACAGGAGTAATTTTCCCCTCTTCGACCTAGGCATAAAATCAGATGGAAAAATT